GTTTCCTTAAACTCAATTCTAGCTATTTATTGTTTTGATCTTAATTTCCATAAGCTAGATTTATATATTGAGTTTAATTGTTTTATTGATACTCTTTGTTCACACACAACCTTTTGAGCTTATTGTATTTGCATACATTATATAATTGGGTTGTGGGATAGTGTGACATTGAGTTGAGCCTAATTGAGTTCTCACCTTGTTAGAGAGAACAATCATTTGCTATATTGTGCTTAATTGTTAAATCACTTTGTAATACTCTTGTACACCGAGTGAGGAGTGTGTGGTGAGAGTCGGGGATCGTCCCAAGAGGAGTGGCGTCGGTTGACGTGCCTAGGGAGAGGTTGTAACCGAGCACTTGAGGGAGACACGGCTAGGTCCAACACTTAGTGGGTGTAGAGTGTGATTGCAAGAGTGTGAGTTGTAGAGTTTTCGGTTAGCTAGAAAACCGAGTGTGTAGAAGAAGTTTCGGCTTCCAAACCGGATTGTGTTAGTGAATTTCTCCCCGGGAGTGGGGAACGGAGGAGTAGGATGGAAGGTCCGAACTCCGTGATCACTTGATTGTGTTTGAGTGTGCTTTGGCGTTCATTTATATTTATGTTCATATCTTATATCGTCATTGGCCATAGCTCATTATCTATATGATCCACTATTTAGTTCATATTGTTTACCCCTTGTCTTAGTTTCATATCCTTGCATATATCTTTTTGGTAGGATATATTAACTTGTGAATTAATTTTAATTGGCATTTAATCGGATTAGATTAGCATAAGACCCTAATCACCCCCCCCTCTAGGGTCTAACAATTTGGTATCAGAGCAGAGTAAAAATTAGTCAAATTACTCATTAATTTATAATTTTTATTTCTTAACTGTAAAATTTTGGTAATTTATTTTGAAAAGAATTGCAAATGATAGTGATATACATGAGCAACAATTGGTATCAGAGCTTGGTGCTCTTTGATTTAAGGTCTAATCGTCTTGAGTTAAAGATCCAAGTTATCTTATTGTGCTAATCTTGTTATGGTTATATTTGTATCTTGCTTGTCTTTTATATTATGGATATGCATGGTTTAGGTTATGCCATTAATATTGCTCCTAGGATAAAAAGATGTTTATTATGAACAATCTTATGTTAGAATTTTTATTAAATGCATTTGATTCATTTATGTCTAACAAGCTTGATTCTTTTGATAGCGCTTATACATTATGGAAATTCATAGAAGCGCATCAAGGAGAGTTGGAGGCGATCCGACAAGCTTTGGAGGATCCCGCTTCAAGTTCATATGGAGCTTCATGCACACGGTCACTAGGCGATAGCTCTAGTGAGGTTTGCGAGTTTGAACCCGATAATGATTTATCTAGTGATGAACTTGCTTGTGCTAGTGAAAAATTATTGCATACCTTTAACAAATTGCAAAATGATTTTAATGATTTAAAAAGCAAGCATGATGTTTTAAAATCCGATCATGAGAAGCTAGTGTCCAAATTTGACGTCATTGAAAATGAAAATACTATGCTTAAAGAAAGCAATGACTTATTAAATTTGGAAAATGGAAATTTAATCTCATCTATTGCTAGCCTATCTCATGCTAAGATTGATGCCATGATAGAAGTAGAGAACATAAAGAATGATACAGCTTCTTTTATAAATAACTATTTATGTTCTACTTCTAAAAATGCATATGTGCCTAAAAATGAAGATTTGAATCTTATGAAAAATAGTATTTCATCTTTAGATTCAACTTTGAAAATATGCATCAATAATCATAAGAAACTTATGGACTTATGTGCAAAGTCTCGTGCTAACTCTTCAAAACCAAGCACTCACTATGCACATATGTATAGCAAAGTTTACAAATGCTCAATTTGCGGTCGTAAAGGCCACATTGCTAAATTTTGCTATGATGCACACAAATCTTCTAAGATTAATTTCTTCATCTTGTACACTTACACATTCACATGCTCATTCTCACAAAGTTCATCATAAGCATGCTAGTGTGTTCAAGTGTGATTATTGTGGTCGTTTTGGTCATTTGGCCAAATATTGCTTTGATTTGAAAAGAAAATCTCATTTGACAAATGCTTCCAATAGACCACATGTTTTTAAATGTGATGTTTGTGGTAGGTTTGGACATCTTGCTAAATTTTGTTTTGATATACAAAAAGCTTCTAAATTGCAATATGTTCCAAATAGACCATTGTTTAAGAATGTTTCTCATTTGCAAAATAATTTTAAAAGAAAATCTTTATTTGCAAATGATTCCCGTGCACGAGCTAATGGTCCACAAAAACAAATGGATCTCTTTCATTGCACAAATTGCAATCGGAAGGGTCATTTGAATGAATATTGTTTTGACCATGTTAGTGCACCATATGTGCCTAAGAGGGTTTATAACCCTAAGGCTTTGAGCTTTAATGATAGGGGTCATGTCCCTAAATCTTTTGGTACCAAGAGTTCTTGGGTACCAAAACAAATTTAAATTTTAAACCAAGAATTTTAGTATTCTTATTTTTCTTCCTTTTCTTGGTTATTTGAAAATTATGCTTTGAAACTTTTTATGAAAACAAATTTTCTTTGGTCAAATTCTTTTGTTTTCATAATTCCTAGTTTTGATTTTGATGAGAGGTTTGTATTTATATAACCCTCCGGATTTATTGGGTGTTTATTCCCAAACATTGTTTACCGGATGCTAAAATATTCATATGGGTTGATACTAGCTAAAGAGCTAGATAGAGTTGCCTCTCTTGATTTTTTGAAAATCAATGATGATTTGGTTTTATGATTTAAATTTTGATTTATGATTTCAATTGGTTGATTTGTTTTCATTTGAAAACTCTTTACATGATTCTCATGTTTCTCTTCTTTTGATTTCATAAATCTATTTTATGCATTGGCTTTTATGATATGAGACAATATGTTCATCTTGATATACTTATATATGTTCTCATCATCTCTTGAATGTGAGTGATTTTTGGCATATTATTTATGCTTGCTCACATGTTTGCCATGATCTTTTATTGCATACTCCATATGGCATTTTGATAGGGGGAGCAATCCCTATATCTCTCTATATGTTATACTCACCTATGCTTATTGATAGGGGGAGCTTTCGCTCTCTTATTCTTTTTGTCCCCTTTTTGATGTTGTCAAAGGGGGAGAAATATTGTGAATATTGTGAGTATATGTATATTCTTTTTTGTTTATAAGCATGTGAATTGTAATTTATATATTCATTTCCTTTCATGCATATATTCTTTTTTGTAAATTGTTTGTCATCATCAAAAAGGGGGAGATTGTTGGCCTTCTTGTTTTGATGATGATTTACAAACAATTTACTACTAATGTTGTTTGTCTAGTGTTTGTGTATTCCTATGTATTGTAGACAAACAACGTTGTTGGAGGATGGATGGAATAGAGCTTCAACGATCATATCCAAAGGAGGTTGGCGGAATGTCGGTGAAGCTTATCAATTCTAGTTCAAGATCCAAGTTCAAGCTTCATCCGCAAAGTGTACCAAGTCAAGCTTATTGAAGATCAAGATCGGCTTGGGTAATCTAGTTTAGGTTTTATATTATGTGTGTTAAGTACCTTAAGCTCAATATCATATATACACACGTATTTGGTTTCTATGTATATATATAGTTATATATATACATGCATGGTTTTGGGTTTTCATGTTTTCGACATACTTGCAAAATACATGAGTTTTCACAAATGGAAATTCAATTTGAAGAAATTCTTTTTCTAACATGTGTGTTTTCATGTTTACAAACATTTCGCAAAGTTTCATCAAGTTTGGAATTGATTTGTTATGTTTAATGGAATTTACAAAATCATGTTTTTCGTTCGTGCATGTTCGTGCATGTTTTACAAAACAGATGAGTTTTTATAAATGGGAAGTGATATTTAAAAAATTCTTTCTTTGACATGTTTATCTATATGTTTAGAAACTTCCCTCAAAATTTTACTATTTTTGGAGTTGATTTACTGTGCCCAATTGATTTTACAAAATCGTGTATGTCAGCAGATTTTCAGAAACTGTATATCTGTGTTCAAACATTTATTTCTCTCAACTGAGAAATTATTTTTCAGAAATTCTTTCTCTTTTGTGATTCAATTCTACAAGAGCTTGAGGAGATCATCTATTGGTGTTTGGGCATCCAACTATTCTCCCTCTACCTCTTGATCTATTGAGAAGTTTTCTAAACTCTTATCTAGTTTTACATTTGCTTAGTTATTTGATTATCTTTCTTTAAAGCTAGTTTTTATATTGAGTTTAGATTTAATTTTAATATCATTGTTACACACACCCACATGAGCTTATTGTATTTGCATACATAGTATATTAGGGTTGTGAGAGATTGTAACATTGAGTGTGAGCTTTTATTGTGTTCTCATCCATAGTTGAGAACAATCAATTATTGTATTGTGCTTATTGTGAGATTCACTTTGTAATACACTTGTACACCGAGTGAGGAGTGTGTGGTGAGAGTCGGGGATCGTCCCAAGAGGAGTGGCGTCGGTTGACGTGCCTAGGGAGAGGTTGTAACCGAGCACTTGAGGGAGACACGGCTAGGTCCAACACTTAGTGGGTGTAGAGTGTGATTGCAAGAGTGTGAGTTGTAGAGTTTTCGGTTAGCTAGAAAACCGAGTGTGTAGAAGAAGTTCCGCCTTCCAAACCGGATTGCGTTAGTGGATTTCTCCCTGGGAGTGGGGAGCGGAGACGTAGGACGGAAGGTCCGAACTCCGTGATCATATTGCTTGTTTGAGTGTGCTTTGGCGTTCATTTATATTTATGTTCATATCTTATATCGCCATTGGCCATAGCTCATTATCTATATGATCCACTATTTAGTTCATATTGTTTACCCCTTGTGTTAGTTTCATATCCTTGCATATATCTTTTTGGTAGGATATATTAACTTGTGAATTAATTTTAATTGGCATTTAATCGGATTAGATTAGCATAAGACCCTAATCACCCCCTCCCCCTCTAGGGTCTAACAATTGAATCCACATAACTTCACCAGTTGCAATTGCGACGCCCCTATATTCAGCTTCAGTGCTAGATCGGAAACTGTCTTTTGCTTTCGTGCACTCCATGAGATGAGGTTGCCACCAAAGAAAATACAATAACCACTTGTAGATCTGCGATCATCCGGACATCCAGCCCAATCCGAGTCTGAATATGCATGAATTGTAAGACTGGTGGGTATAGACAGTAGCAAGCCATAGTTGATTGTATTTTTGAGGTAACGAAGAATTCGTTTAACAGCAGACCAATGAACTTCACGAGGGTCATGCATGAACTGACATACCTTGTTGACAGCTGCTGCAATGTCTGGTCTAGTGAAAGATAAATACTGTAAAGATCCCACAATACTTCGATATCGTGTAGGATCACTATGAGTCGGTCCATCATATTGAGAGAGTTGACTATTTGCTGCCAGGGGTGTGTTAATGGGCTTGACACCATCGAACTTAGTACTTTGTAACAGGTCCAGAATATATTTTTGCTGAGATATATAGAAAAAGGCCATTGCGATTTGGAAGGACTTCGATACCCAGAAAATAGCTTAATGGACCCAGGTCCTTGATAGCAAAGGTAGATTGGAGCTGGGTTATCAGTGTGTTGATATGATTTCCAGGTGTGCCTGTTACGATTATGTCATCAACATATACCAGAATAAAGAGAGTTGAATCACCATTTTGTCTTGTGAGCAGAGATGAGTCGGCCTTGGAACTAACAAAACCAAGACTGCAAAGATATCCGGTGAGTCTCGAATACCATGCTCTAGGGGCTTGCTTGAGCCCATAGAGAGACTTTCGTAGGCGACAAACATGCTTTGGAAATCTTGAATCTACATACCCTGGTGGTTGTTTCATGTAAACTTCTTCTGTGAGATAACCATGAAGGAAAGCGTTTTGAACATCCAATTGACGGAGTGCCCATTTGTTCTTTAGTGCAATGGTGAGGACAAGCCGGATTGTGCAGGGTTTGATCACGGGGCTGAAAGTTTCTCCATAATCAATTCCTGCTTGTTGATTAAATCCTTTTGCAACAAGGCGAGCCTTGTAGAGATCAATAGTGCCATCAGATTTTCGTTTGATACGAAAGACCCATTTGCATCCCACAATGTTCTGATTGCATTTGGCAGGAGTGAGGGTTCACGTGCCATTCTGTAACAAGGCATTGCTATCCTCATCCATAGCTCTACGCCACTGAGGATGATTCTTTGCCTGTGTGAAGCATGTTGGTTCCTCCAATTCTGCATTCTGCAAAGGGTGTTTAGTGGCATGCAAACATAATCTATTAACAGGTTTACGTATACCATCTTTTTCCCTAGTAACCATATGATGTTGGGGAATGAGGTCTTGTGTAGTAGAGGTTGGAGCAGTAGGTAGTGGTTGGGTGTATGAAGTGATAACTTGAAGTGGTTCACTGTTTGGTGAGGCATGTGTGATTTCATTTTGGGTCAGTGGTATTTGTAAAGGTACATTCAGTAAAGTAGGATTGGGTATGGGAGATGTTTGTGAGGTGGATAAGATGGGTAAAATGGATGTTGTTTGTAAAGGGGCAGTGGGTATAGAAGCAGTACTTACATTGGGTGGGCTGTTGTGCACTGCCGAATAGGGGAAGATTTCTTCTTCAAAGTCGACGTGGCGAGAGATGTACAGTCTTTTGGATTGTCGATGATAGCACATATAACCCTTTTGAGTGCTGCAATAGCCAATGAAGACACAGTCAAGAGATCTTTTCTCTAATTTATTCGAGGCATAGGGTCTGAGATATGGGTAGCAAAGACACCCAAAAGATTTTAACGCATTGTAGTCTGGTGTGGTACCAAAAAACAATTCAAGAGGAGTTCGACCCTTCAATGGTGAGGATGGTAGTCTGTTTATGAGGTAGCAGCTAGTGACGAAGGCATCAGCCCAAAATGTTAAGGGCATTGATGCATGGTTTAACAAAGAGAGACCAGACTCAACAACATGTCTGTGGCGTCTTTCAGCTAATCCATTTTGAGCGGAGGTGTGTGGACATGTAAATCGATGGAGAACACCACTTTGAAGTAGAAAGGGAGTGAATTTCTTGAATTCAGTTCCGTTGTCTGTTTGAAATTTTTTTATCTTTTTGCCAGTGAGATTTTCGATTTGTAACTTAAACTGTATAAAGACAGTAAGAGCATCACTTTTGTGAGATAAGGGATAGACCCATGTGTATCTACTGAATGCATCCATTAATAGTAAGTAATACCGAGAGCCATTCCTTGAAAGCATTGGAGCAGGACCCCACAAATCTGATACAATTAGTTGTAATGGTTCTTCATAAACTGTGGAACTCAAAGAAAAATGCAATTTATGACTCTTGCTAAGACGACAAGCATGACAAAATAATGTGGACTTATTTTCTACTGGCAATGAGTATGTGGACACAATTTTATTGACGGTTTTGAGCATCGGATGGCCAAGCCGGTGATGCCACAACGAAACTGACTCTGATTGAAAAGCAGAAGGAGAACTAGCTGGCTTGTCGACAAAATGATATAATCTGTCCCTATCCGTGCCGTGTAACAGCGGTGTCCCCGTTTCCTGATCCTTCACAATAAAAGAATATGGGTGAAATTCAAAAAATACTTTGTTGTCAGTGCAAAATTTGGATACAGATAATAGATTGGTAGAAATAGATGGGACATGGTAAATTTGATTGAAATGAAAAGTTCGATTATTAAGGCAAAAAGATGATTTACCAACATGTTTAATAGAAAGTGTATTACCATTACCAACTTTGATCTGATCAGGGCCATCATATTGAGTCTGGATGTGAAGATTGCTCAGATCAAAGGTTAAGTGGTGTGTAGCGCCACTATCTGGACACCAATTACCATCAAGAAGGGAGCCTGGGGCAGCAACATATGCAGTTGGTTGGCTAGACGAAGAGGTAACAGTGAAGGTGCGGTCAAAACGGTACCAACATTCCATAGCAGTGTGGTTCTTCATGCCACAGAGTTGGCATGGTCCTTGGGCATTGAGAGTTGGTGGAGGGCGTCCCTGAGCCTTGTTTGAAGACCGGTTCTTGTGACCTTGAGAGCCTGACCTGTTGCGAGGACCAGTGGAGTTGTTGTACCCATTGTTAGGGCGGGAAGAGCCGTGATGGGCAAGATTTGCTATGGGCTGAAGGGAGTTGGCATTTTGAGCTTCCGAGCGCATCTCATAGGCTAGCAGATTTGAGTAAAAGTCATCCATATGGAGATTAGCTGCGGTGGCAGTGAGCACCGTTACAATGGGATCATAGGATGAGTCAAGACCACTGAGCATCATGTGCTGCAGATCAGTGTTTGAGATAGTATTGCCGGAGGCTGCAAGATTGTCAGCGAGTTGTTTCGCATGGAGGTAATATTCAGCCATTGTCTTGTTTCCCTTACGCATATTTTGTAATTCACGTTTGAGATACAAGACTCTGGACTGAGATTGAGAGGAGAAATGTTTTCGAAGTGATTCTCATACTTCTCGAGACGTACTGAGGCCAACTACTTGAGCAAGTACTGACTCGGAGAGGGATGATAACAACCATCCTAGGAGAATTTGATCTTGTTTCTTCCAGGTGGTATAAGCCGGATTAATCTCTGTGGATTCCGGGAGAAGACGTGTGGGGCAAGGGAAGCTCCCATCGACGTATCCTTCGAGGTCGTACCCCTTTAGAAGAGGTCGAAACTGGGTGAGCCAGAGAAGATAATTGTTGTTGTCGAGCTTAACAGAGATTAGATGGTGAACTTGGATTAGTGGGAATGGAGATGGTGGTGTGGAGTAATTGGAGACCATATTGGTTGCAGCGGATGAAGAGGATTCAGGAGCGATCATGATTGAAAGATGTTAAGCTTGATAGAGAGGATCGATTGCTCTGATACCAAGTGAAGTTTTGGAAGGCTTGCACACCTTAAACGGTGATGCATTGTTTGCATATATAGAGTTTGATTGAGTACAGTTACAGATCCTATTCTTTAGGAATACAATTCCAGTTTGTTAGTAGTTGTTACAGAAGAATTCAAAATTACAAACAATCTATAGAAGGAAGTTTAGATACTGTGATACTGCTGGTATGTTGTTGTAGGTAGATTAGGTTGTTGTAGACAGATTAGACTTAGTCGTTAGACTTAGTCTTGACACATGTCTACAAGGTTACAAAACAATAAGACTAGAAAAAATTCCGAGCATCCTTGAACTTGCGAAATATGCCGGATGCCGATGGCTCCCTTTGTTCATTTTGAATGTTAGCTCATTATTTCTAACATCAACACTGTTAGCTCAAAATATTTATAACACGTAATATTGGAAATTAAGAATAAAAAATAACTCTTTATACAAAATAGTTGAAGGCGCTCGAAGAGAACTTAAATCCAATTGTCATTTTCTTCTATTCCCTTATGATTGAGCATCCTCTTGTTATTATTCAGCCTGTTACTTGGGTACTCTAACTGATGTTCTACATGTACTGACACCTAACTAATGCATGCTCCTGTACTTTCTTGGACACTCCTTGAATGCATCCTTACATTTTATTTAGGTGTACTCAATTAAGCGTGTGATTTAATGTAAAATACTAATTAGCATACACTTCTTTAATGTACATATGACATTTCACATCCATTTTTGAAAACTTGTTGGATATAGGCCGCATACGCAACGGAGATACAGTTTCAGTAGACCGTTTGAGTGCCTTGTTAAAAAGTGAGCAGCTTTCCAATATGTAATCTAGATAATAAAAGATTTAATTCCCATACATATGAATGAAAAATAAGATTGATCTTATGTAAATTATTGATTTTAACATATGTATATACTCGTGTCCCTGTACTTTACATATTACAAATTTATCATGTCTCCCACCCGTGCCCACATTCGTAGCAGCACCCGCATCCGTTTCCACGCAACATAGTTAATCAGAAACCTTAATAACTACTATCATTTGCATGCAATTTATTATCTCCTATTGTCTAAACGTGGAAATTTAGTTATGCTAGGATGCATGTATTTAAACTCTAATATATCACATACGCTGTCTCATCGCATCTGCAATATAAATATCGAATAAAATTCCTTAACGATCCCACATAATATGCAATTTCCTGAGGGCGAGGGCATCAGGGCGAGGACAAAGAATAGTTAAAATAACCCTTAAAACATTGAAACAACTGATAAATGGAAAATATATAAAAGATCTCCTTGTTTAGAGAGGCATTAATCTCATCTAAAATTATCATCTTTCAAGTTGGCAAGTATATGTGCTCAGCATTAGAAATAAGGATATTCTAGTCTTCTAGGTTGCACACTTTACTGTAATAGTAATAAACCTGACATACGTACGGACAAATTATGTTCATATCATATCGCTTTTGATCTACAAACCTTAGGGCATCTTCAACAACTTCTCCAAAATTTTCTCCAAAATGGGGAAGTAAAAGTTATATTCTCCAACTAACTTTTACACAAACTCTAACAGCTTCCCCATTTTGAAGAATCCTTTTTTTTCCTCCAAAAATTT